CTTTTTTAGCTCTTCGGTTCACACTTCAGTTGCTTCGCACATGACAAAATTTGACATGACGTCAAACTAAATCCCTTCGTTTCATTCGATTCCTAGTTATACATTTACGATAGGCGGCTACATAGTAACTTTATACATTTAAACTAGTTTGTTCGTTGCGGGATTCGCATACGCTGACATTAGAATAGCGCGTGTTTGGTGCAGATTTCTGGAGACGGCAAAGTTTGAACGTGTCTTTCGTAGTCATGAGGATACATTATGTGGAATTAATTTGTTGTGGGTGACACCGGTAGATTTTTCTCCATGGAATTCAAATCACCATGAAGAATGAAACGAGGCTGATGCAACCCTAATTTGTCAATTGGGTGCAAAATGACCCACATTTCCTGCAGAAGTGATGAAAATTCCAGAAAAGACTCTAGCTTAACCGGATTTACAGTCAATATTATTACGCACTTCGCATATGTTGAAAAGAAAACGCCTACCATTATCAAGGAGTAACAAAGTGAAACCATTCCAAGTAATGCAGTCTAAACTGAGTGCAACAAAATTGATCAAACCATTCAATTTTAGCACTGTATTTTGCACTGTACTCGGATAGAAATGCCAAATAACTAGCCTCAGTTTCAACCATACACGATAAAAGTGTGTGAAAAACAAACTCATTCGGTATATTGTCTCAGGAAGTAGAGCTTTAGCATGCAGCCAGTCAAAATTGGTTTAAAGGTTGTGCAGGATAAAAATTTCTGGACTACCTAGTAAACGGTTATCGCCAGTGTTGGATGTAGAGCTGAGGCGTAGTTAATGAAACCCGAAAAAAAACAGAAATCTAGTCTGATGCTTACGCGTGCAATGAGGGCAAGAGGTAGAGAGCTGACGAAGACTGATCACAGTGACACGTTCCGTAACGATGCTGATCAAATTGTTTTTCGAGTCTCCAACAGAAATCATCTTTCATGTGTGTTTTAGGGTCGGTAACAGAGTCCTATTCAGTGTAAACGGGGGTTGGCATCTCCAGGAGTTGTTCTAACCCGATTGGTCATGAATGTGGAAAATAAACACACTTACATGCCAAAACATGACCAAAGCGCAGTTTGATGGTGACTATTTGGTGGGTCAATCAATACATGCAAGAGGGCAGCAACGGGAGGACAAACAGGTTTGCACTGCCATCCCAATAAGCCATATACAGTCTGAGCACGTGTGTAAATGTACATGACGATATGTCTAAATATACGAACGGGTCAATCTTCCTGTCACTTTAACAGCCTCCGGTTTTTGATTCGTTTCAATCCGTGTTTTTCAATCTTTTAATATTGTGAGTTCCTTAAAATGAGAAAACGTGGAGTAAGCAAACAGCAGACAGTTGTTACCACTTAAACCATTATTTCTGGCAAGCGGCTCTTTCAGAGTGCCCCTGACTTTAGAAAAAGGAGGAATTGATTGTTGGTTTGGTCGTGAATCTGCGCGAATTAATTTGAGTCAATCGATAGTGAGTCAACCGGCAAAAAAGACGTTTACAAAGGCGATGCCGTCCGAACGCATGCATATTTAAAGGTTGAACGAAATAACATACATGTTCATGCGTTTCTAAAATACATGGAATATTCAATTTGCAAATCCCTATTTTACCTGGCTTTAATTATAAATAATTTCACGGGGATTGGTATGTGCGCTGGACTCAATGGGCTGACAAGAACCTGTCATAAGGTGTCTGACGAAACGTGAGTGTTGACTGCTGTCAGGATTCAGTCGATTTGACGCTTCAGTTCCAATGATTCAGCACATGGAAGTAGAATATTGACGAACCGCCGTTGCAGATATGGAGAGCAATTAAGACAACCCGTACAACTAATCCAACTTATTCATTCGTAACTTAAACAGTTTGCGAGTGTTACTGGTAATCACCGAGGGTAAAGTTTGTTTAGTTTCGAGACCTATTTGGCTTACACACGTATTTAGAAAAAAAAGATAAATTATTGATCAGCTCTGTTGCTCTTCCTCAGCCGCGTTTCCAACTGCAGAATTGCAGGAAAGACTCAGCCACTAGTGCGAATACGCGGGACACGTTTGACCAAGTTGAGTAGAAAGCAGCTAAATGAGTTTTGCATTACCCACCTGTTAACATATGCGTCTGCACCGAATCGGTTACCTAGAGTTCGGAAATTCAGCTGGGCGAGTGAAACTGTGTTTTGACCAATCATTACTTTGCATAAACAAGATAATTTCACTGAGTGTCTTTTTTAAATACATCTTCGGGACACACGAACTTTTAGCTGTTATCTCTTTNCTTCGAGCCAAGCTTTTCAAGGTAGCTCTACCGTGTAGATCATAAATATTTTAATCGTTTGAGCAAACGTTTATGGGGAAACCAAACTAAGAACTAGTTTGGGTGCAATACGCATAAAATGGGATATGAAATATAAAATTCTCTCTTGGTCGACAACCGTTCATTACCTCCCACGTAAGAAAGAGAGAATAGCAAATGAGGAAGGCTGAACGCAATATTTCGCGGTTGTGTAGCAATACATAATTGATTAGGGGGAAAAAGTTGTCTTTAAAAGCTATATTGCAGGTTGCATGTACCAGGCAGCTGAAAAGGTTGTCTTCATTGGGAGGGGAGATCAAGTTAACTTCTCGTTGATATTGTATTAATTATCGATTGATGTTCTACTTACAAGTTTTTCTATTTTTTCTATTATTATACCTTTCTCGGACACATCTTTCTTACGTCTCCCGGTTCAAATTTGTAATATCTGTCAACAGTACACAAATCAGATTCCTTGTCAACCACTCTCGTATTTCAGTGATTTTGAATAAATCGATTATATTTTGAGTTTGATATGTGCCTACTAAGAACACATACTTCAGCGGAAACAAACACATTATCGTAGTGTGAAGAAAACTCGGATGCCCGTACTGGGCGTTCAAAAATGCTAAACAGCTATGACCATTCAGTGGGAAAAATTCGATGACCTTTGAAGAACATCCTTCATTTGGAACCTTCGTACTACAAAACTGTTCCCAATGTGTTCTCTTTTAAATATTGCATTAATTTATTTGTATCACTTGTTGTCGTTTATATGGAAAATCAAATCGCATTCCGAGCATAATGCAATTGTTCTACAAATAGCATTTAACTAGGTTAGTGCAATGTTTGGTAAAGTCTCACAGTATACAAGTGTTTGTCAGCTGCAGGGGAATCATTCACACAACCAACCATTGCACTTGGCTCTAGGTGTTTGTTGCATGTGCCTCTACCAAAGGATTAGAATCCGGGCGAAGCTGTTAACAATTTTTCATGGTAAACACTTTCATTAAACAATAAGCATTCACAAGAACCATGAAAAATGTCAGAAACTGATTTTAAGAGACTCGAAACAGTAGGCTAGTCAGAAAGCTCATGTGTGTGAGTTTCCAATGCAACTCAAGTTCCTGGTGAACTGAATGTCAGATATGAAGATCATTTGTCAACAAATATCTTGTTTGCATCTCAGTGAGTATCTATTCATGGGGAAATTCCTCTTTAATTTTCCAAAAGTGCTTCAAGGTGGACATTGGGTAAAGATTCAGAGACTTTCTATAATAATATTGCTCAACGCATTATGAAGTCCGTTTGACTTATCGATTTCTTCCGTTTATAAGCGGGAGATAAACGAATTCCTAATTACCATACTGATGAGCATGTAGATTAAAGTTTGTTCCAGCTTACTTATAAATTTAATACTCCATCAATCTGCACCATTACCATGGGAGTAAGAATGAGGGGAAAGTGATATACAAAACACAGGATAAAATTCGCAACACATCACACTCGAGCAAACTGGTGCGATTGTTACAGCGTATCAGAGGGATTCAATGCAATCCGGGCTAAGGCAACAGCAAAAATCATATCCAACTAAAAGTGAAGGAAATTTAAAAAAAAATAAGAAATCTGCTTCAAGATATTTGATCGGCTCATTGTAATGCCACCCAGTAACCAATAAATGAGTACCCCGAGTACAATAATAAACTGATTTGGTTTCGTAAGCCGAAAATACAACAGAAACGGTGCAATAATGGAACAAAATGTGATGTGAGGAGATAGTTTGAATGGAGTCTCCTGTCATTTGGCGCGTTTTACGTTATGATTGATGATCACGTGAACTGCAGTGGAATTTCTAATGTACGTTTGATTTCACGGGAACATAGATACATGAGAATGTGTGGGTGCCTTACATAAATTGGTTCACAGTTTCACAAATTTGCATAGAGGTGCACCAACTATATTATTTAAGGTACGTTTCCAAGCAAACAGTCTGTCATAAAGAGTTATTTCTGAGAAAAACTACCCACACTGCAGCTTGTCGGCTCCATTCGAGTGCAGTTTTTCTGTGACAGTAAAGCAGCCGATAACGCGTTGTAGTTTTGCATTCGGCGACAATCTGATGCTCATAAAACGATAACGCGACAAAAAAGGAAAACAAACCGACTCAAATTGCTCCGTCCCTCCCACCCACCCACGCGTCCTCTCAATCGCTCGTTTTGTGCGTGCAACAAACACGTGCAAAACACCGTTTAATCACTTTTTGATTTTTGTGCGTTACGCATCAACTTTTGAATGACAACCATTTGTCAACCGCTATCACTGAACCCTGTGTCGTTTGTACCTCATCGATTTTGTCTCTCCCCACTCTCGAATCGCGATTTCCTATTCGGAGAGTTGAACCAAACTAAAACTCAACCGTGGTGTCGAAATTACAGTCAGTTTTCCCCTCAATCGTTGTTTTCCTCAACAAAAAAACATTCTGTTCATCTCGAAAACGGTGAATAAAAGGGGAAATGATAGGATTACTGGTGATCTTGTTGATATTACTATTGTCAAAAAAACCAAATCCGTTCTTTGTAGGTTTGCCCGTCAGCTCCGTCGACACCGACGATATTTCATCTCAAATAACTTGTTGTTCAAAAAGACTTAACATACAATCTACTTATCGGTTGTTTTACTTGTCACTTTTCAGGGTGCTCCACCACGACCAGTGCGAATAAATGGCAATACGAATTTGGTCACTCCGCCTCCGTGGCGCGGAGGCCCAACAAATCTATCTCCCAGCTCGACAGAATTTACAAAGCACACACGTGAGGCGTCTAAGCAGCGATCCACTCAGGGTACATACCATAGGCCAATCTCGGATTACCGGATAGAGAGTACAACTGTGAACACAAACGGCAGCAACAACTCTCGTCCCATACCATCCCAAGTTCGAGCACGGAGTCGTCAAGAGTTGATAAGTCAACCCGAAGTGGCTGGACACAATGGAAATATGCATCGAAATGAGAATAGCACACGTTCTTCTGAGTCTCGTTCCGTCCACACAGCTCGATCCGGTGGAATTTACGAGAATCCCAGCCTGCTTCAATCTTCCCCGCCGTTGGAAAGGCGCTATCGAGACCCACCGGCTGCGCATATCCGAGCACGTGCACCAACAGTAACAGATATGACCAATTCAGGTCGAATCACTGCTCCACCAGGAACCGGCACAGCTAACGGAAACGAAGGGACTGACGAAAATATACNATTTGAAAGTTGTCATTGAAAATGCCCCGGAACTCACTGACGCACTGGAACCTCGAGTAAGCGGATTTAGGGGCAATGACAACTTTTTGCAAATGAGTCGTAAATGCTATTCACTTCACAGTATGAGCAACGCAAGTGTGATTGCAATGCTTGGGGTAGTGTATGATTCACGTATATAAGACAGTGGGGATACCCGTCCGTCAAAAGTGACGTTACAGGGGATCACGAACTGCACAACATAGATCTGACGCATAATTATTGGGTTTATCTCTTTCTTTTCGCGTGTATGCAGAGAAGCTCAGTGACCTTAGCAAAAAAATACGACGGGAAGCACGTATTATGCTTAAGTTGATGCAATCTATTCATATGGTGTCATAGAATTTGAATAGAAGTTTTCTCTGTGATTTTTTGTTATCTGTTTGGGATACTTTAAAAGTTACTCTTACGGATTTGATATTGATCTGGTCACACCCATTCCAAGTGGGCCTTCTTATAGCCTATCCTTACCACATCTCATAGTAACATCTACTTTGGTCTAGGTTTGGGAAGGAGGTACCAGTGCATGTGATGAGTGACATGTTTTCGAACTCAATAAAACTTTCATTTAAAACAAAAATAAAGGAACCACCTGTTTTTATTGTGAATGTTATATTGTGAACAACACAGAGATGTCGGTAGAGAATTGTATTCACCGACGTTTCGGTTACCGTGGGTAAACTTTCTCAAGGCAAGTTTTACAATCAAATGACTCAGA